CGCATGGGCCACGAAGTTTCAATCGCACTGTACATGTGCGCCCGCACGTGGTATTTTGTGGAAGAGCCACACTCAAGGGGCCAAAGAGCCGCATGTGGCTCGCGAGCCGCAGTTTGCTGACCACTGACCTACACATGTGAAAGGAAATGTAAGGGAAAGAATGATAATGGAGAAGTAAGGATGAGGAAGGCACTTCTCTAAGTATAACTTTTGCTCTTACTAATAGAATCATAGTAACGATCTCATTCCACCCCCATCCCCCGCCCCCAAATTAGTCAACTAGAATGTGTGTGTTGGGAGGAGGTTCTGAAAAATGGAATATAACTCTATTTCAATGAGTAACACTAAAAGGGACAGGAAGAACAGAAGCAACCTAAGTAAATTTAGAAGCAGTCTTTGGACTGGATATTGTAATGATAAGGACCAAATGAACTGCACACAAATACTGTTCTCCAGTTAGTCAGTCAATCTGTTTCTCACAGGGACATGGGCCAGCAATTCTGAAACTATTTTATGTGCATAAAGGGTTAAAAAATAAGTGAGTATATTGTAGATGACAGCCAGATTCTCATTGTAAGAGAAAACAGAAACAAACACACATGAAAAACTAGAATAAACCTGTGGTGCTGAGTTGAAATATCAGTTTGAAATAATGGTTTATACACATGTATATGGGAGAAGTGAGTGAGCGCGTGAGAGAGATATCCCCAGGTTAGTACACATATTTTCTAGATCTTTCTGTTGGGGGGCCTGGGAGCGGTGAAACCTCAGTAGCAGTGAGCACACCCAGCACTCAAATCTGGGTTTCTAAATGCCATTTGCTAATAAAAGGACCCAAGCTTCCTTAGAGAAGGGCTGGGGCAGGGAAAATACAAGATATGCAGGAGCCAGACTGAAGAAGCTTAATGGCCAAAATTTGAACAAACTAATAAATTAATACTATAGAATAAAATAAATATCCATGAGTTTGTGCTAAAATAAGTAACTGAATAAATAATTGGAGGAAAAAAGAAAATAATTTCTTACATTACAAATGAGGGAAATATAAAATCACCATTAGGCAAACAGCACAGAAATAATTACTGACGGTAATCAATGCTAAAATTAGTGAGCGAAGTTTAAGAATAAACAGAATATTAGCCTGATGTCAATGACCTTCCTTAAGTTCTTTCTCAGTTATAAAATAAAGAGAAGATAATAATTTTACCATAAAAGAAACACAGCAAATGTCCTTACCATTGATCAGGATTAACATGACCAGCAATGAGACCTATCAGTATCCTATATCCACTAATATGATGTGCAGACAAGAATATATCACCTCCTTGGAATTCTTGCAAAATATGCATCACTTCATTATAATCATAAAATTGAGAAGCATTTTTCAAGATAACGGACCCCCAGTTATCAAAAGTGTCAAAGTTATGAAAGACTAGGAAAGAATGAACAAGTGCCCTAGAGTGGAAGGGACAAAGGGTCAAATGCAAGGTGTGTGATTCATTGTAACCTGAAGAGAAATAAGACATTGGAGGAAAACGGATGAAATCAGACTAATGTCTATGTTTTTAGTTCATAGTATCAGACCAACTTGAAGTTCCGTATTTTGATAACTGTACTCTGTAATGTACTATGTATAAGTTGTTAGCATTAGAGGGAGGTGCATGAAGCGTAGACATGAAATCATTGTACCCCTTTTTGCCACTTTTCTGTAAATCTCAAATTATTTTTACAATAATACTGCCTGTGTGTGTAGATCACATGCAGAGTTTTCACTCTGCAGCCAATATTGGAAACATCTGTATGCCCACGCCTTCTTCAAGTGTTTTGGTTTTGCCTCTCTTACCCTCCTTCCTTCAAGGAACTTCAGCGCGGTGCCGATGTTAGCCACAGCGTGGATCCGCTTCATACGGCGTCCTTGTTCACACGGCTATGAAAGGAGAACAGGAATAGATCAAAATGCACACATTCAGGAGATGGCTCAATAAAAGATAAAGAAATAAAAAGAGACTTATAAGATCTATTAAATATATTTAAACATACTTGGAGAATATTCAAGAACAACCAGCATTACTTAATTTCTATAAAGATGGGCAGGTATATGAAGGGGCATTATCCACACAGCACCTTAAAAGTTTACTGATATACTCAATAAAGGCCTTTCAGGTTTCTGTATGTATTAGAATGGAAATTCACAAAATTCCTATGCTGTCTACTGACACTGTCATCCTATAAAGTAGGAAATCTATATATATAAAAGCCTAAGCGACCGGCTGACCAGCCGGTAACTGTGATGCACATTGACCACCAGGGGGCAGATACTTAACACACAGGCATGGAGACATGGAACAAACTGATGAATCTCAGAGGGAAGGGGGGCGGGAAGGGCAGGGATAGATTAACCAAAGATCTTATATGCATACTAGAGGCCCGGTACACAGATTCGTTCACTGGTGGGGTCCCTCGGCCTGGCCTGTGGGGATTGGGCCAAAACCAGCTCTCCAACATTCCCCAAGGGGTCCTGGATTGCGAGAGGGCACAGGCCAGGCAGAGGGACCCCACTGGTGTATGAATCTGTGCACTGGGCCACTAGTATTTATATGAAAAGTAGCCTTTATGTGAGGGCCTGGGGTATACAGGAAATCTCTGTACTTTTCTTGTAATTTTGTTGTAAACCTGAAACTGCTCTAAAAAAATTAAGTCTTTGAAAAGGTACTCTTGGTAACTCACCATTTTTTTTTTCAGTTATACTGACATGAAAGGTTATTGACAATGTTATAACATTTCTAGGTTTGGATGATCAAAATATACAGGCCAAGGTTAAAATGTAGGATTGTGAGAATGAAAATATTATCTACACAAATGTATGTTCTGATTACTTATGTCTGAGTTACTAAAATTATCATGTGCTTTCTATGTACCACAATGCTAATTTTAAAACTCAAAATAATTTAAATAATGGAGATAGGATTAGCCTCCTTTACATTGATAGGAACCAAGTGGATAATTGAGGTGAAGTAATGTCTCCATTATCGCATAGCTGGTAAATTGGTTTCCTTTTCCTGACACCAGACCTTAACTAATCTCCCATTGCAGCTCAAACCGAGTACCTTTTACTTCCCAATTATAGTGTGCTAGGCAGACAATTGTATGCTATTCTAAACAAATATTTAAATAGAAAATTTACTTTTTACATTTTTGACTTTTATTTATTCTTTACTTTGGAACCTCTGTTATACATGACATAGTCCTACCATTGATCCACACATGGCCCATTTATTTCCTTGTTTGTTTGTTTGTTTTTAATCCTCACCTGAGGATATTTTTACTTTGATCTTTTAGAGAGAATGGAAGAGGGAGGGAAAGACAGAGAGAAACATTGAAGTGAGAGAAACACATTAATTGGTTGCCTCCTGCGTGTGTCCTGACCAGGGCCTGGCCAGGGAGAACCTGCAAGCAAGGTACGTGCCCTTTGGTTTGCAGGCCCACACTCTATCCACTGAGCCAAACCAGCTAGGGCTAGTTATTTATTTAATCAGTTATTTTTTTATAATGTAAAAAGCACCTACAAACCTGCCAACTGAACAAAGCCAGGATCCAGAAATTACATATGAAAGCCAATAACGCCATCATTCAGTTCATTCATCTATCTGCCTTCCTACATCCATGGCAACCATCACACTAAATCTAGTCCAATGCCTTTCTTTTATATAAATTCATTTCATGTATATGCATTATTAAAAATAATATTTTTTTAGTTTTTACATTTATATAAAGGTTATCACTGCATTAATCTTTTGAGACTTATTTTTCCACATAATATTTTATTCCTAAGGTTCATCAAAGTCGTTGCCTGTCACTGTATTTCATTCATTTTGACAGCTATATTATGTGCCATGTAACTCCTCTCCTTTTAAAGTAACTCTGGGTTATTTTCAGGTTATGCCTGTTTTGACCTATGCTAATGTACAACGGCAGAATTATGTTGGCACTTAGAATAGTATACTTCTTAAATACATCCATTTGAATTGTAATGAGGTTTCCTTCAACCTTCTAGGAAACAGCATAATTCAGGAGGATATATACACATGACCAGCTATATGTGGCAATCAAGGGAGTATGTATTTCAGTTCAATGCCTCTTACATCCTAACACTTATCCAGCATATGTAGTTTATGCATATATCTGTAACTTCCAAACTGGCTGTTCATGTGTCTTGTTCGATTTCTCCCAAAGCAGAGCCTGAGGAAAGGACTTGGCTGCCTGTAGTTTATTGGGGAGATGATCCCAGGAAGCAAGAGTGAGGATTCGTGAAAAGTGAAACAAGGAAGTGGGAAAAGCTAACAAAGGGTGTGCTCTGGAGTGTCCCACTGTGGGCAACTGGGCTCAGTTCCCCTGGGGGTCCCATTGGGCGCTCTATGAGATCTGTAAAATCGGCCTCAGAACCATTCCTCCTGCAAGTGCCCGGCTGGAGCATTTATTCATGAACTCCCACTGCCATTGGTTGAGGGTCCTCTGGGACCATTAACTCTCCTATACTTGAGGGCTGCCTGGTGCAATCTGTGACTCCAATAAGCCCGGAGGGCAGAATCCCAGAGATATGCTACCAGTGCTTGAGATCCGATGCTGGTGGGGGGCCTGGGTAACGCCGCCACTGCGTGGCTGAAATCAGACGTGAGCAGAGATGGCATCCGGGCCATGGGAAGCATCTGCTAGGAACCAAACTAGAAAATGACTTACACAATATTACTATCAGTTTGTATGTTTCAATAAACAACCTCTTCCAAAAGCTATTTTGAGGACTCTCTTCACAACATTAACTAGAAATTTTATGTTCAGGCAAAAGCAATTAAAAAAAAACTACTAAGTTACCCAAGAAATAATGATTGTGTAGCACCTGTCAAGATGCAATAGATACAGAAAAGATAAGTACTCCCAATTTTGAACCCTTTGTATACAACATGATGAAGACCATTTCCTGAGCTCCTTTCTCTAATCATGGTAAATAGCATTTATAATAGCTTATGTTTGCAAACTACTTATTTCTCTATCCCTCTGAAATAAAAATAAATATAATCCAGGAAAAAAATATTTTATGATTTGAGTACTGGAGGGAAAACGTAGCGCTCACTGTCAGTGTTGTTTTTCACTCCGCCGCTTTCGCTGTGTCTGAAAGCAAATGATCCAGAACGTGCTGTTCCTGTGACAAAGCACTGGTGTTGGAGCGTGGCCACAAGCTTATGAAAAATTGCCGCGTTGATTTCAGCTCACTTTTCAACAAAGGGCTATACAAACACACCGGAATGGACCAACACTCCTTTCCACATGGCCAGCTAACACTCGCTAACAAGTGAGGTAGATGTCCCTGTGCAACCAAGCTGCCTGGGCACCACACGGACGCAAGCGTTAACCATGATTGACTGACTACTGAGGAGGTCTCTGCTCTTAGTTCTAAGGTT